GTGTGTGTGTGTGTGTGTGTGTATGTGCGTGCGTGCGTGCGTGTGCATGTGTCTGTCTTTGGGTATGTGTGCATGTGTATTTGGGAGGGTTTTTTTCTGCAAAAGAAGTCGGGTTTACTCTTTTGCAAACGCGCCTATTATTCGTCACTCTGTTACAGAGATATCATGCAGTCAGAAGCCCACTATTTCATTTACAACGGGAGACAACTGGTGTGTTCTTTACAAAGACATTAAGATTCCTAATGTCTCAGGATTCTGTCCCTTGATATCTCGCTCATACGTTTGATCAGGTGCGGACAACATTCGAACACAGACGACTTAAAAAAAAATTAAAAACGTGTTGCTTTCCCATCGACACAAGGTATATCAAATAGGAAGCGGGCTGCTTTAACTGTGTCTGTCAGGGCCAACCCAGGCTGAGTCGGAAGCAACATTCTAGATTAGCAACATAGATACTCGATTAAAAAAAGACAGCCTGATTCGGGAATCGAACTCGCGCCTTCTGTGAGCAGTAGCGAAGAGCCTTACCGTTGCACCACCTGCGTAGAAAGATCTAACGTTGAGGTTAGTAGTATAGTAGTATAAGGTTTTACGGCGCTCGCAACTGCTAAGGTCATATGAGCGCGCTCGTTGAGGTTAGCGCAGTGGAAGACAATCGCCATAGCGTCATGGCACTGTCCATTTCAGACAACACTGAGCAGGGCATGACGAGAGGCGCAAAGGCGTCATGCTAGGAGATCCCCCCCAAAAAAAGAAGAAGAAAAAAAGAAAAAGAAAAAACAGTAAAAAGTAAATAAATAAAAATGATAATAAATAAATCAAAATTAATAAACGAAAAATAAATAATTAAGTCAATAAAAAAACTAAACAAAGCAAAACATATCAGAACAACCCCCCACCCCTCCCCCAAATAAACAATTAAATATTATGGATATCTTTCTGTCACGTCTTGTCGCGACATTTTCAGGCTGATACTAGTACATCTGTATGTCAATGTCGATGTCACCCGGGCATGTAGACCAGCACGTGACATAACGATATAACATGGATACGATAGCGGCATGTTGGAGTCTTTTATTCTTCTGTTTGTGAACACCCTTATAGAAACCAACCAGCCATTGATAGTTCGGGGCAGGCTTGGAAATGTGTATTATGTAAACGCTGTTAAACCGCATGTCGTATCTATTCCTGTATGTAAAATCAATGTTAAAGGGAAACATTCCCGGTAAAATCATAGTTCAGAGCTGAAAAGAACCTACTGGGCACTAACTGTTCAATATTAAATTTCTTGGATAGGATTGGGAAGTGTGGAGGGGGGGGGGGAGTCAATTGTATGTTGTAATCAATTATGAATATGATACGAAATATAAGACATACATAAATGAAATAAGCTATTTTTGAATAGTTCGTTTTGAAGTTGGCACGATTGGATTCAGAACTTTGCAATCATAAATGACTTTCATTCATAAAGCTTGGCGTATGCAGATACGAGTAGTTCTGATCGTAATGTAATAATCGTCACCTTTGTGATAAGGTGGGCTTACCCCGGTGGGTAAACGCTACAGAAGAAGCTACAACATATTATAGATTTACATCTCACAGTGAACTGGTAGCGAGGGGGGGGAGGGGGGAGGGAGGGGGAGGAGTGCTCAGCTTCTGACGATTTAGGAACATCTGAAGAGATGTAAAAAATTCGAGGTGCAACTTTTTGACAAATATATCATTGACTATCGAAAACAGACGTTCTAGCATTTGCATGAAGACTTGTATCAATTTGTCGTCACAGATCAATATTTTTGTAAAACACCTGTCAGCTGTATTCTAAAAATTCTTTAATAAATACTAATTTGAAAAATCCAAGTGGGTGGTTTCTACTGATTTTACAATAATATCGCTTTTAAAAGCAAGTTCGTCATTTTTTTTTCTAATCGCGAAATTATGTATATTGAAAGCATGTTTTGAGAACCTTTAGTGCAAAAAAAATAAATAAATAAATAAACAAAAATTCAGTAAAAATTGA